ATAAATAAATCTTTCGCAAATCCCACTTGCGGAAGATTTGCCGTTCAATTTCTGTCCGTTTTTATTTGAATGTTCCCTTGTGGAAGGATCGGCTTATGTGTTCGTAGATGAATCACCATAGCGCGCCACGAATTCGCCCCATGTTTTAAAAAGGAAAATAAAAATGGCAGTTCCAGTCGGTGCAAAAGAATCGCTTAAAGCGACATAGATATATGCTGGCGTGTAACTACGAACTACGCACTTTGCAGGGCGGCTGGCGTTTCCTTGGACCTTTAACCCTGTTACGCATGTGCATTGTACATTCATTACATTCGTTTTAACTGTATGCATAAGCTATATCCCGGATGAAGCGAATGCGTGCTAACGATGGCACGGTTTCCGCCGTTTTTACTTATGTTTCCTTGTGATACTGAATACATGAGAACTAAGTCTGAAACGTTTTTCGTAGCCGTGTCTGCCTTTGGAGTGGTGCTCTCTGTTTTCCCCTTGGCTTTGTTATTTGGACCGTGGGAGCCAAGTTAAGTGTACCCACACCCACTTGGCATTTGACACGGCTAATTATATAACAAATCAATAGTATTTTTATTTTATCAACGCAGTGCGCTATTGCAATAAGGTTTGAGGTATGATCTATTGCGCCTGCGTAATCCAATGAAACTGCGCCAATGAAACTTGAGCGAAACACTAGGTACCGTTTAAATAACCAACACCGTAATGTATGGCCGCCGCCAACAGAACGTCAGTTGCTATAGCAGCTCGCGTTCAGTTCAAAGTCTGTTGTCGCGTGGTGGAGGTCATAGTGAACCGGTACTCGTTCATGTTGACTAATTGATTTTTCATACCGAAGCAACAGTACTGAGTTCCCACCTGATGGCCAGAACAGGACTTTGAATGGCGGCTATAAAACCGACAATGGACGTGCCACCAGGGCGCTCTTTTTGAGTCGTTTCTACCTCGCGAACCGCAGCTGTTCAAAGGGTACCCGGTTTACGAACTTGTAGCTTTCAAGGTGATCTGGTCACGATCCGTTATACATGAGAAAATCACATACCTCAGCGTCTTTACTCTCTGCTTTGGATTATGAGTACGTTTTTTGGTTGGTGAAACAGTCCCGCCTTAGCGGAAGCTAAGATATCATGTCTTATGGTTTGGTGCTGTGGGAGCACAATTTCACTTCATTACTGATAATTAAGCGCCGGTATTTAAGCCGTATCAAGACCATTTATGAGCATTTTGCGTCTAATAGCGGTGGGGGGACATTACCTACATCCTCAGCTTGGCGACATGGAAGGAAAACTTCGAGGAAAACGAAACAGGGACGCATCTTTTTTGGTACAAGTCTAGCCAGAGGTGTCGCCTCAAGGCCAAGGAGCAAAGGTCCCTGTGGCACATTACGGTGCAATGGAAAATAACACGTGGTGAAACTGTGCTTATTGTGCATAGTATCCGCATCCCCGGCCATATGGCCTCAAGTTTCCCAGTGCTGGATGGTGGGGGAGTTACCGAGACAAAAGCTCTTGTCACAAGAGGCCAGTGACCTCACTAGACCTTCGCCATGTCCCTTAGGTCATCTTAGGTCACGAAAAGTATGCACAATTTTTCGCTAATAGCTTTTGATAGAGGCATGCTAGAGCGATGAAAACATCTTAGCCGTACTCAGCTCGACGATATGGATCGACTGATATGCAGCACGACCTTTTCCGGTCAGGTCATGACCTTAATCCTCGCCGGCACAGGCCATATTTCGTCCTTCGACGGCACAAGGGGGATGGTTGGTGACCACCCTCGCGTTTGGCCCTTGATCGAGCTAGAGTTTCGCGGAAAAAGCGAGCGTGTTGCCCGTCACGAGAGGAAGCAGATGATACCTAATTTCAAGGTCCAGGTTAGGTCAATGACCCAAAAGTCGGTGAAAATTGGGACCTGTTAGAAAGTCGTAAAGTGTAGCTGCTATGGTTCTTTTTTGGGGTGCTGATCACGAATGTCGCGTTAGTTTTGATCACAGATGATGTCTTTAAGCATTTAGAACAGGTCGGGTCAGGTCAGGCCAGGTCAATCAGTAGGGGTCGTGACGGGTATTCGTAGTACGGGTCATCCGCCTCTGACAGCCTCGTACCATGTTACGAAGGTACCAAACTTCTTCATAAATGTTCAAATGGTTGCTAAATTCGAATTCAGCTCCAAAAACTAGCTTAGAAACATGTGAAACTCGAAAAAGTGGACCGAGGTCACCAAAGGTCAATGACCTGACCTGACCCTCAGGTGATTGTGGCATCCACCCTAATGCATGTGAGCAACATCAAATCACATGTTTGAACGTTTGAAACCACGAAGCCTGCAAACGCACGGCTAATGCGAGCCGACATACGCCGAATCGCGATTCCGGCCAAACATGGTCTCGGAAAGTAGGTCACAGGTCAAAGGTCATTTGGGTCAGGGTCATGCAATTTTCATGGTAGGTGCAAATTAGTCAATGCGAGGGTACTGAAATTTTTGTCGCAATCAGCCGCTTTTTACGCGAGTTATTCGCGAAAAACCTTAGGGGGGGGGGGGGTGCATCAACGAGGGTGCTGTGCCGACAAGGATTAGCCTGAGGTCAACTTTTCAAATTGACCGGTCAAAGTATAGCTCATTCAACGTGTATCGACGAGAGGAACACGATGCCGGTAATGGTAAGCTGGTGCAAGTTTTGAGTAAAACGTTATTGCAGAGAACCGTTGCAAAATCGCCTACTATGGCCGTTTTTGCCCCCTGCAGGCTAAACCTTTGACCTAGGTCAAATCTTGGGATAATTTTCAGAAAGAGGGGTTATCAGATGTGCTTTCAGGGGCGCTATACATAGCTCTATTCGTTTCCGAGTTATGCGCCGGTTTGTCGAAAATTGTCAAAACTCGACCCGAAAATTGGCGAAATGATCTTTGATGACCTCTGGTGGCCTGGCCTTTGACCGGATCCAAAAAGTGACCGAAGTAACTATAGTACTTCATTATTCTTGACGGTCTGTTGAATGTCGCCCACCGTGTGTCGCTACGTGGCCCAGGAGCTGAGTTACAATGGGGAAAGGGGTGTTCGCTGTTCAAACACCTCCCCCAGCAAGGCGTGAAAATCCAGAGTCCCAGCGGGGCGCGTGTTAGAGATGACATGTATTCATTCTTTTGAAGTAGGTCGGGTCAGGTCGACCAGAAGGTGTCCCGCTGGCTATCCATGATAGTTGCAAACCACCACCACTGACAACTTCACAACATATTGTTTGGGCACCAAAACTACCAAACCCGAGGTAAGCAAAGGTTAATAATCTTATATGACTGCCAAGTAACCTTGAGACCCACCATAATGCGTGAGGCAACCAACATTTCACATGCCGGCACGTTTCTAATCACAAGTAGTCTAGAAGTACATGAATAAGGTGCGCCGACATGCGCCGAACCGTAATTCCGGCCTGACGTAGTCTCAAGAAACCGGTCACAGGTCAAAGGTCACCTAGGCCAGTTTCATGAAATTTTGAGGGCTTGTGTAAAACTAATGAACTCGAAAGTACTGGACGTTTTGTCGCAGCCGCTTTTTCTGCGAACTATTTGCGAAAAGCCGAGAAGGATCCATCCGACGCCCCTACAAGTGTGTAGTATAAAAGTAATAAAAATATAATAATAGTAAAAGTAATAAATAAAGTAATAAAGGTAAAGAACATTTTATTACTTTTTAAGATGGGATAGTCACTGAAGTAAACTATATAAAAAACACTGCAAATATAAAACTTTTGTGCTTTTCTCAGTCACCACCGAAGAATATGCCAAAAATATCCAGTTTTGCAAGACATTAAAGCACTTGTTGTGTTTGTAGAGCTTTTTAGATACCTATATTTAATATTTTTCTAGCTCGATCAAGATGATGATTTGCGGTACTGTTGACGGCTATCGGGCTGTATGAGCGAGGATGTGAAATGTGTGCTTTCTACTTACATTTTGCTGAGGATGTTTAGTATTTTAGCAGTTATATATTTTTTAGTATTTATTTAACCAATTTTTGACGTGCAGTGCATAGTGTCGATCTGGAGGGGGCTCCCCGTTCTTCCTTCATAATCTTTTTATCTACATTTGACCAACCGGAAGTACCTACTGGTATCTGTGCTTGTTGCTGGATGTATGGGACCATATGAAGTCTGGTTCATTGGTTTAACCAGGTGGTGGTGTATCCCGCGAAACTGATGCAGATAGGCACACGTGTTCTACTGTCATACAGTGCTTGTAATTGCATGCACCGCAGCGTCTTTCTTTCACAATGCTGCACCACAGCGTCTTTCTTCCACAGTACATATTCTTTATCATCCTTGTTTTGGAGTTATCAGAGCACGTATCAAGGAACGCTGTTACAGCGGATTCGCATGCACCGCTGCCGATAGTGTAAACATCACGTGCAATTTCCGTTTGTCCGGTAAACAACACTTGGTGGCAGGTGATGCTAACATGCTATTTCCAGCAGCTCTGGCCCCGTCTCCTGGAAGGCACCGCGACGGCATCTTTACCTGTTGCCGTCCACTCACTCAAGCGAGTGGCTGACATTTCTGAAACAATGTGAAGCGCGTGGATCCCAAGAATTAACTGAAGCTGTTTTGCCACTGAAATACACCTGAATATGCTGAATGTATGAGCGTAACTCATTGCAATTCAATTTAACTCATCATTAGGTGATGTGCTGTTTTTTTTTTGTTCATTGTTGTATAAATTGGAGCCCACACCGCTTTGCAAATTAGCCTTTAACAGTATCATCATCGTCTAACGACAAAGTCGATCAAATAATTCGGACTGCTCTACTTGAACTACCCTACCAGGCGCCGCCATTCAACACTGGCATTTTCCCTAGGGCCCAGGGAGTCGCTCTGCCATGGGACCGCCCCCGCCCGTCGGTGTCAGTCGCCTCTATTCCGGGTCACGTGATGAGGCAAGGTCGCCACAGGTCCTAGCGCCGCGCCGGTGCACTTTGGCCCGGCGCCGCCGCATTAGGAAATGGCCGCCCCTCTGTCCTCCGTTAGTTTGCAGTTATTTCATCCTGGAGCGCGCATTTGCCGTGCATCAGTCATGCTATATAAAGTGTGGCGCGCGGACGGAGGAATGTGCAGTGGCGATCCAGTCTCTCACCATGAAGCAGCTGGTAAGTGCGCCCGGCCGGTCAGCGCGCTGATAATTGGGCCTTAAAGTGATGGTGTGAAAACAACATTGAGTTTTAATTAATTGGCAATTGTTGCGTTAATATGCTATTTTCGGTGAATTAATTTCACATTTCACTATGTATAAGATACTGATACGTATGCGTAAAATGATGTTGCAAAATATTTTTTTGGCGATCTTATTTTTCAGGCGCCTTTGGTAGCTTTGTTGTGCCCAGCTGTGTATTTGGTTTTGCACTTTGGTTGTCTTAGTATTTGCCACATTATTGTTCAATCGATCACAAAATACCTAGCCAGTCTACACAATAATGATTTATGATAATGATTAATGATTTTCATAGCATTGTCCCATTAATTGATTGTTATTGTCATAAGCACATTATTTTTGCCTGTTTATTAGCTTCACAGTGGCATACTTACAACTTTCAATGTTAAGGCTCACAATATTTGTTATGAGATTAAAGATAATGCCGTATAACTGATAGCTCTCCAAATGTTTTTTTTTTCACTAAAAAAATGTCATTTGGGTAATGGAATAGTGGCTGTTTATTAATACAACTGTGCATCATTTGTGAGCCGTCAAAGAAAGTTTTATTTTTCTACTGCAATTTTCGATTAAAACATTGCACAATATCTATGAAGAGAAAATATGCCATTTTGCCGCTTCCGCCATGCTTGCTTTTACAAAAAAGGAGCTTGAACATCAAAATGATAAGATAAACATTTTGTTTTGCAATGGAGCTAGCACACATCTGAGATAACATGATGCTATGAAATCAGACAGCATTCTAAGCTGCCGCACGTGTGTGTGTTTCCAGGTCCTGCTGACCTTGGCCCTGGTGGCGGTCACTGAGGGGTTCGTCATCGACCCCTTCGGCTACGGCGGTGGCTTCGGAGGGCTCGGAGGGCTAGGAGGGTTTGGGCTGGGCAGCTTCGGATACGGCGGGTAAGAACCGGATTCCCTACAGCTGAGTCTTCTCGGCAGGTGGGAGTGGTGCGGTTATTCTAGCGTTATTACTAGTTTGGTTTCAAAAATACAGAAAGAAATGCCTAGAGTGCCATTAGTGTACTAATTCCATGTTTGGATAAACAAGATTCTTTGAGATAAATTATTGCTAAAAACTACACCGGGGCATCGAATAGTGATATCGTTTTCTATGGATGGCTTGCACGTCGTTCAGATTGTTCATTGTCTCTAGAAATATCCTGTTAACGGAATGAAATAGACGTAACAATCTATTTCTTTTCGGCGTCGACTCTCATTTCTCTGCTCTAACCTTGAGCCTTGCCCGCTCTGTGGGTATCCCTCTCAGCTCTCTGTGACCTCTCTGACCTCTCTCTGACCTGTCTCTGACCTCTCTTCTCGCAGTCTGTTCCCGTCGACGTTCCACCACCACACGGTGCAGCCGATCGTTCAGCCCATCATCATCCAGCCGCCCAAGGAGGAGGAGCCGGAGCCGGAGCCCAAGGTGGAGGTGCACGTGCACCACGGCCCGGCCGAGCCGCACCCGCCCGAACCGCACCCGCACCCCCCGGAACCGCCACAGGTGCACGTTATTCACGTCTGATTCCGGCCCGCTCAGCGCGTGATATTTGAACAAAATTGTGCGTGTCAATAGTATGGTGATTTTAGAATGTTTGTGATCATTGTACACCTGTTTGGCTTCACATCATTTTTGCACCCCATGTGAAAAAGTGCTGGCTAGTTGTCGTTGTGGTGATTGTATGCACTGGATTGTCCGTTAATATACTCCTACAACATAGCGGTTGTATTGTGAAACGAGAATAGAATGCGGCTGCACGAGATTCCAAGCGAGGTCGAAGAAGGACGCATGGCAATTTCGACGGCATTGAACACACGAATAATAAATGAACACAGCTTGACGCTAGTACACTTCTGCAGTTGAAAAGTAATATAAGCGCAGCGTAGCTTTTATTATTAACAACATTGTTTTTATGGAATTCTGCTGTCTGTCCAAATGTTTGCTATTCAGCCGCAGGTTTTTGGGAATGATTGATTGTTAGTTCAATTGATATGCATATTCTTGTTTCCTTACTTGCTTCCATTTTTACCTTCGCCATTGCATATTCCAGACGTAATTATTTCTGTCGTATGTCCTTGTTTTCCAGAACAACACTATTGACTTTTGTGAATAACACTATGGAAAGTTTATGCAGCATTCACCGTTCAAACATAACTCCTTCGACGAAGCACATTGTTTTCCTTGCCGATATCGGCTTCCCTGTCACCAAAAATTTATCATCGATGCACAATGCACATACTAAGCGAGGGAAAATTCAGAGAGCTGAAGTCGGTGCATTTTTTTGTCTCAGTCGACAGGGGCTTTTCACCTGATCAGCTGATTACAGTTACTGCTACAGTTGCAGCCCAGTCGCCCACTTGTGAAAGATACGAAATGATTACTGAGGCTGCTATTTAATTCAAAACAAAACATTTAAAACATTTAAAGCAAAACAAAACATTTAAGTTGAAACTTTCATAAAAAATAGCGTTGCCTGATAGCCAACACATTTTATCGGATAAATCGGTAACCGTGCTTTCAGCTTTGCTTTAGGCATTTACTATTACTTGTATTACTATTTGCTATTTACCTTCATGCCTGCGATAGTCCTATTCATGGTTTAGCCGTGTTCCCATGATTTAACCATTACTAATATTTTTTAAGAATTTTGAGAAATTCAGGTTAATTTAGGAATGTCTGTTTTGTTCTTGGTAATTTTTATTCAGCAGACCAGAATTGTACTAGGTAAAAATTTGAGACAACTGACGACATAGGTACTGGTTTTTGTTAGGCTTGATGTAGAAAGATTGTCACGAAGCGTCTGCATAACCCATTTATGAAAACTGCTATGATAAAGTAATTAAATCAAACGCGCAACCTTGTTTTCACTCGGCGGTGGCGGTGCGGGAATGGCTGAGCCAGCCGCCTCTCTGGCGCAGTGCCGCCATCTCAGAGATGTGCCTTGCGGCACAACATATAACCAGGCGCTCGAGGGTAGTGTCATCTAGCGGCAGCGATATGAAACAGCGCTCGGGCGGCGGAGGCGGGAGTATTTCATTAAACAAAGCATTAGTGTCTCGAATCGAACTGTTGTAGGCTGAATTAAAAAGCTCATGCAGATAGTACACAGTTGGTTTGTGAATAGTTCATATAGTAGTGACTGAATACATAGTAGGGATGAGTCGTCTCTTTGTTTTCTCTCTCCCTCCCTCCTTCCCTCCCTATCTCACTTCCCTCTATCTCTGCCCTACTGATCGTTTAAGACGTTTCATGCTATTTTTACGATTGATTATCATTTATGCCTTTATAAGCGTTTCAGCAGAATAATGATGGTAAGGGCACACTTTGCTACGTGAATTTAATTTGCCTTAACTATTTAATTTCATTTGAAATTGTTCTTAAGTTTGATGAGCATCATGCTAGCAAAATCTGTAACGGTAACTTTCTATCTAGACCGTATCAATACGGCTTAAAAATGTAAACAATGCCAGGACATAGGTGGACGAATCATCAAACAAGTTCTCAAAAAGGCACCGGAAATATTTAACCAGCGCCAACTATATCCTGTCATTGAACATTTTATGCAGACATCCTCTTCACACAGCTGTCACCTTTTCCTCAATCAATGCATCATATTTTCCTTATCGAAGTGCTCACTAACATATGGCACAATGCGCGATGCTGGGTGCTCATTGGCGGTTCCCATTACCTACGTGTTCCCACGCCCAGTGTTTGATGGAAATTTTGACGTCCTATCCATGCTCCTCTTGGCAGGAACTTTCCCCTGTCGCTTTTCTAATAGATATCCTCATTTTGTCATAAGCTGCTGTAATGGCTCAGTAGTGCTTCTACGATGATCGTGAGTGGTTATGGTCGCCGTCAAAGCTGTAAAAGCGAGCATACATATACGGATAGGTCCAGAAAGCCCCTCTGCTTTCTCCTTGTTTGGAGCAACACACTTCATACAAAACTCTGATTTTTCATGTCAAAATTTAAACTCATGATAACCAAATGCAGAATTGGAAGAAAAGCTAAGATTGCGTGCATCAGTCTGAAAGAACATCATAATTTTTACCATACTGTCCATTACACGCATCGCACCGACAAGCTTTCCCCTCAGCATACCCACTGACGTCAACATTTTGCGCTTATCAAGCCCAGTGCACAGCTCGCAGAAGTGTCTCTATACAGCTCTGAACAGAGGTGTTTCTAACTGTGAACATTTTGAGACACTTCTACACGGCGCACATGTCGGCTCTGCCGGTGGTCGGATGGTAGTTGAGTCTAGTCAGCATTTGGCACCCGATTCGCCTGGTCTGACCGCTCCCTGCCCGAGAGCTTTGGGCTGCTCTTGCTGCTGTTGTTGCGCTGCTGCTCCTGCTGTTGGTCCTGCTGCTGCTCTTGTTGTAACTGTCCTACAATATCGTGTAATAAATTGCACGCATAAATTCAAAATAACGTCGACTGTAAAATAAAAATAGACATCGTACCTGTCCAGTGTTCAAATACGTTCATTTCCCACGCTTCATTGATTTTGTCTTCCTTTGGCTCTGCTACACTTTTAGATCGATTCTGCTCTCAACACATACTTTCAGTAAAATAACAGAAAGATGTGAATGCTTAAGTTTAATGTTGGGATGATGATATCGGTAATTGTTGGAAAAGGCCCATGATTATTTGTCGTAAAACTCGAACGAAATATCAATTGTGACATTTGTTTCTAAGTTATTTACATTGGAGACACAATTTTGTCAACTTCTTCGTCTTCGATCCTATCCTCCGATGACAACATGGTAATGCGATGGTGTGAAACGTGTCATAGCCTATAACGATAGCTGTTGGAGTGTTGAGTTGCCATACCATAGATTACAAGTAAAACAAGTAGTGGCACACGCGAAATATGTTTTATTCACACATATTTACAAAATGGTATTCTTGTATAGTTCGGTTCTTCCACGACCATAGACCTATACGGTGTCAATACATTTATTGAACTAATACTGCGCCAAACAGTTTGACAGTTAGGCATAGAAACACAACCGGTCCACTTTCAGACAAAGCTGTAGTCTAGCAGTGAAACACTGGAGATCGGAATGAAGAAATCAGATTATTATCTACTGTCTACGTCACTACGACTTGTTCTGAGTTGGTGTTATCACAGGCCAATGAGACCGAGGTGATTTACGATGAGCACCATGTGAGTTTTCTGCCGCCCTGCCGTTTGCAGATTTTAGGGCAGTTGAATGACGAGGGGCTGGACGACTGGAGATCCGATGTGGTGATGGAGCAGAGGGGCGCCGCCAATCAGTCCTCCGCCGAAGCTGTAACGACACCGGGCGTTGAAATTCGGCTCGGGGTTGCCAGCCGTGGGCAGGGCACGCGGACTTCCAAGGTCTAGAGCTGGCTTGTGAATGAATTGTAGTAACACCAGGGCGGACGATATCTTACCCTGTAGCGAGATCTTTGATGAAGAATCTTTTTAGGACCGTTGCCAACAGTAAATTGAATCGATTTGCATCATCATATATTTTAACTTGACATCTGATAACTAGTTAATGAGCATATGTTCAAAACAGTAACATTTTCTGGAGTGCGTATAAGCGATTACAATGTTCGTTCCGTCAACATTGTTCGTTATTTCTACGAGGCTAGCCATGCTGAGCTGTTTACTTACAATGGTGAGCCGAATCCGAATCCTCCGAGCCCGAAGCCTCCGAACAGGGGGTCAATGACGAACCCCTGGGTAACCGTGACCACGGCCAGCACCACGACGAGGAAGAGAACCTAAAACAAACACAAACGGGGCGGTGTGGTTTGTCATTCGCTGATAGGCCTGTATGTATGTTTTTTTTTTTGGGGGGGGGGGGATATATTCAGGATAAGGGAATAAACGTACCCATACTCCCGGAAACGGATTTGAGAACAATGCTTTTAATTCAACGGTACTTGCAAATGAAGCTAAGCATTTTTCTTTTAAGCAAAACTTTTCACTTTCATTTGTTGCCTTTTCAACTGTATATCATCCTGACTTTTGGCCCAGCGTAATGCTCCAAGAGAGTGTCTGAACTCACCAGCTTGTCCATCGTCAGGGACTAGATGATCACTGTACACGGTGATACCCGTGGAGCGCACTTTATATGGCGTGACCAATGTACAGGGAAATGTAGCGCTGCACACTAAACTCTGGAAATAAACAAAGGAAGGATGTATCACCGATTTCCAGAAGAAAAGGAAGTGCTCGCTTGTCGCGCTCCACCTGGGTTGCGGATAACCGGTGGGGACCGGTGCGGTGTCAAACCCCGGGTATTGTTTGATCGACGGCGGTGCCACAGATGCGCACTATCCTGTTACCAGCTGTTACTGTACCAGTGCACCCCCGCGCTAATGGAACTGATGGTCCGTGGTCGGTTCACATGGGCTGCACTGCGTGAACCGGCAGACACGCAGTTACACAGTCCGGTTACACGCCCGTTATTTGACTGTAAATATGTGTACAAGAGTGATTATGTAAGTGAATTTTGGTAATGAAATACATGAACAATAGGTACACAGGGACAATTTGGCATTGAAATGGTGTTGCCTGGTAGAGCGCACAACGTATCAGCCTGGATGGACGGATCACATTAGGGGCGCCAGCTTGGATGGAGCATCAGCGCTTTTCTGGCCATTATACGGGTAGAAAACTCCTTGGGCTTTCCGAATCGCAACAGTTAATTGATCAATTATCATTGGCAGCGTGTGGTACACAGCACAATCCTCCAACATTGTTAACCCGGCGGCCGCTGGGCCTCCGCGCCACCCGCCGGCCGCTGGGGGGGGGGGGCATATAGTTGCCCCCCTTTACTTCTGCAACGATATCGTCACAACGCGAAGAGATGGAGAAGCGAAACTTTGCACACATCTTTCTGAATACCTAGCCGAGGTTATGTCCAAATTTGGTGTCGATCCCATTTGAAATAACGTCACAGTGACGTCATAAGTGAAATTATAGATTTGCGACTCTCATATTCCTCACGATACATCAGATATATGGGACCGAATATAAAGGGTCGATTATTGGTCAGAAACTAGATGGAAGTGTAGTTAGCTGTTTTAGGATGACAGCAGGTGCTGTCTAGTTCATTTACAGTTGAGTTTCATGCTCAGCGTCATCAGAAACGGTCCATATCGGAAAACGACAAAACTTTATGACGTCACTGTGACGTCATCTTAGGTGCTACAACCACCAAACTTTCCTCAAACATTGCCTAGTATTCATTTGAAGCTATGCCAAATTTCACGTTCGTAGCTCATCAGGTTTCGGAGATATTTCACAGAACGTAAAGGGGGGCAACTTTATGCCCCCCCCAGCGGCTCGTGGGTTAAGCAGCACAGCTAGTAGTAGGCTCTTGCAGCCTGTTAAACATCCCTAATTTCCCACGGCCTACGCTAACACATACTGAAATAGACGTTATCTCGAAATAGACGGACTCATCCGTGATATTTTTCTCTCAACATAAATAGCCGGGAAATGTGTTCCTTTTTCCTTTCTCTTTTCTCTTTTCGCTGCTATCGCATGCATTCTTCCTGCTATGCTATGCAGTCTTCCACAACTCATTAAGCTTGCGTATTGTTGTTATTGATTCGTTTTAATTTTGAGTATTTTATGTCCTTTATGTGTGAAAAATATGAAGATTAAGAACCGTAGCCTCATACTGAACTGAATATATTGCCGAATAGTGTGCTTGGATTTGATGTTTCAGTACCGTTTATTTGTTATCGTTTAAATGCCGCATCCCGCCCGCTTTCAGCTGTCGGAAACAGCCACCCTTAGTGAAGTGACAGATCGGTTGTTTTTGTGAATTTTAACGATTAAAGATAATGTATGCTAATTAGGCAGTCATTGTTTGGAAACGTGAACATGCGTTTTCCTCTAACAATTGGTTAATGACTTTGATACAGTCTTTTATTTAGCGGTGGCGAGCTGATTTCAATAGGCACCATTTTTCTGTTTATGGTTTCTTATACCATTTACATTAAGCTAATGGATGTCCACTTTGAATGGACCGTTTCGCATCTCAAGAAATCAACCTTTATGATTTCTAGCCCTTATCAATCATATTCTGTAGAAGGTGGCATG